CCATAAACTGCACAAATTTTATTGGCGGCTTGAGATGCATTTTTGCCTTTATCGTAGTAGTACTGTAAAATATACCGCATTTTCTCTTTATTTTGCTCCATGTTTGCGACGCTATAACTCAATCAATCAAACACGTGTTAGTGCGTGAAATGAGCTTTCCAAAAAGGTATAGCATGACCCGATGCGGCGAATAAAACTAGAACAACGCGCTCTCAGCGCAAACTAGCGAAAATACCGCAAGACTTTTTTGACAACCTAATACAAAGAAGATGGCTTTCCAACTCTCCACGAATATCTGGCCGTGTGAAAAACATGAAATGGAAACTGCATACGTTTGAACTGAAATGGCAAATCGTTGGAATTCGTAGAATCAAGCATTCCTTCCCGGTTTCAGCGCATGAAGATTGCGAAAATTTTAATGACAGATCTGACTTTTAGACACAAATGATGCGCCGGCATACCAAGCCTCCCAAAAGAATTTAGAAATTTCACGGGTTAATTCACGGCTTCGTCTTCATTATCAAAACGATCGATCGATTTGAACGAGCGCAAACCTCTCGGAATTTGACTTTGAATCTTCCCGTTTAAGTCATTAACATCGGTATTTTTGGCAGCTAAAATTGCGGTTGCACTCAAGGACCCATTTCCAATCCTTTTCGTAAACGATGTAAAATGTTTTCAGCAATGCCATTTTGTTTCGTAATTGACGCGGATTTGAGGGCTTATGTGTCGAAATGATCATCGCGGAAAGTGTGCGAAATCAGTCCTAATGCATTAGTTGAGAACACACCTCGATGTCCATCTACTGCTTGGTCTTGCTTTCTACGTTTCTTCGACGATGCGTTCCGTGTATAATATCAAGGCATTTCCGAACAAAGCAATGTTCTCGGATCACTGACGCAAGTTGAGAAAAAACTCGTCAATGCAATTTTGTTGTTGGCGGTGTTTCCGCTRGCTGAACTGAATTCTCTGCGTTGAAATACACCCTTGGGTCTTCTCCAAATGAACTGCGCAATGCACAAAATGAATTTTTTCAAATTTTTTTTTACAAACCATCCTCATTGGATTACCTTCAAAGTTTAGGCCATTTTTCATTTCATGCAACTGTCAGCTATAGTGAATAGATAAAAACCTAAGATGTACATATTTACAAAAACTATTTGACAGCCCTACTAACTTAGAAAAATWCATTTTTTTAATATTATTTAGCCGGGAAATTTAAACTACAATTTTTGTCGTAATGTACATATACATCAAGCGCCAATGAAAATAGTGGAATAATTTTACATCATCTCATCTAAAAATAGTCGAATTCCTATTCCTGTCAACAGTTCTCTAATTCTTAAAAATTTAATTTTAAATCATCTTTCATCTCATCTAAAAATAGTCGAATTCCTATTCCTGTCAACAGTTCTCTAATTCTTAAAAATTTAATTTTAAACACAAAAAAATATTCAGAAATAGTAAGTATAAATCMAATACTGATTACACCAACATCTGCTGCATAACTTCTTTTGCTTACTGCTTCCAAGTAAAATTGCTGTCAATTTCGCGTTATTTACTTTCAAATTCTAAAAAGATAAATTTGTATACAAAAGAAGGAAATGTGATATAATTAAAAATATGAAGAAAAGGATCAAGGGATGTGTTCTTTGATAAATCATTGATCATAAATTGTGAATGTCTAATATTCTTTAACAASGCTTTCTCAATTACTAAGTTTACACCGAGGAGTAAAAATGGATTTATTTGTTATAAAAACAAATTACATACATAAAGAGCTATAAGTTATATTAGCTTTTTTTATCGAATAAAAGCGATTTTTGACTACTGATACATATCACACTGAAATTGATTTGCTKTAGATGAGTTCCAATATGCAATGACAACAACAGCCGGTTCTRCGCTACCGGGATTTATCCATCCAGGCCGTAATTCCAGCGATTTAATCCTGTTTAAATCTGTGATCTTGTGCCATTATTAGAGCTCCTCCTAGAAACATTCACGAGTCGGGAACATTGCTGCGGTCCAAGAAATCAATTCGATCTATCAGCCGCTCAGCACTGTGCGACACTGTCCACAATGAACGACGAAGCCCCCATCAGCAATATGGGCACCTTTAATAGCTCGCGAAACTACCCGACTTCATTTCTGTACACAATCGCACCTTCGTTAACTTTAACAAAGCTTAATGCTTACGGAACCCCCATTGCCCAGCCGAAGGAGCTGTTTTATCTGAAGAGCGCGACACCTTACTCCATACCGATACCCGTAATCTCTGAATAAATGRTGTCAATTTGGAGATTCGGCACTAGGTTTCAAAACGCTCAAGCAGAAATTACTTGGAGAGGAGTTCATTGTGTTCCTTAACTGGSGGCATACGGGCCTCACTGTGTAGCTATTCGATCGGAGACATCAAGAGACCTACCGTTAGAGTCCGTTCCACATTAGTGCGTCATTCTGTATTTTTCAAACAAGGCTTCTKTGTCTTWTCCCCATGTGCTGCCGGCACAACGCGGTCGTATGAGAAGTAAAGGAGCAGGCTGTCTAATGTCATACCTAAAATCGTAGGGGTTTAAGCATCATTCACTAAAATGTTAAAGTTTAGTGTTCAATTCGTAAAGATGGTGARTTTAGTAGGGAAGAGGGTTGAAGCGTTGCAGCGTTATGACTTATATACATGTACATATATTCCAATTCTCTGGATACTTTTTGCAGCTTAAGGTATTTCCCTGCCTTTGATTCTTGCAAGTTGCAAGAATATAAAATRTTCGTTTGCACCCGAACTTATTTCTTCTTTACTTGCAATTCTTACCATCACATATTTTGATTTACTTACGTATATTGAAATCACAAAATTTTTTTGGTTTTCATTTAATCACATAACTAAAATTTATCATATAAAACAGAAGTAGTATTATTGAATGCCGCGCTATAATAAAAAATTAAGAGTGGCAAGTTGGTGAAAAGTAAAGAATATATCCCGACTTTCAATATTAAAATAAAATAAAACGATGACAAAATGAAAGAGGTGAAACGAAACACAAATTTTTAACACAATTTTTAACATTTTTAATTTATCCCGACTGCTAAAAGATTTCTTAAAAAACTAAATATATTTTTACTTACATTTTGAGGATCATAATATAAACTCCGACCGTTAAATATTAAAATAAAATAAAACGATGACGAAATGAAAGAGGTGAAACGAAACACAAATTTTTAACATCTAAAGTTATTGACCATGAGTTCATTGCTTTCAATGGTAGATTCGTTCAATATTCAAGTTGATGGTAGTTGTTGTTTTTTGAACAATTATTTGTCCTTCCTCATTCACGTACTTCACAAAAACACACATTTATTCATGTATGCATCTATATTCATGAAGAATTGAGTCAAAGTAAACTAGATACGAATCACATGCTGACCTTTTGCAAATGGAAACACACACAGAATCTCTTTTAAAAAAATCAGTTACGGAAAAACTAACGAAGATGTTAAAACATTTTTACTTATTAATAATACTATCAGATATTTACGTATCATATTACATATCGATTATTTGACAACAAAGTTAAACGATCAGATTAACTATTTTGTTTCTATTTGTTTACAAATGTTCCAATAATCACCAGTTTCCTTGTCCTTCTAAAAACTGGTTTTACCAATAAACCGAAGTTAGTTTCATATTAAAAATATTTGTATACTTGTTCAGCTTTGTTTTAAAAAGTGGTTGTACAAACAAGAAGAAAGCAAAGAGCTGTTTTTTATAATAAAGACCTGAATTTATTCAAAATAAATTGTTGGTACATTAGTTGCTAAAAAAAATAAATAAGTAAAAAATTAATTAATCAACAAAAATATATGTAAATTTTAAATTTTAACTGATTTTTGACGGTGTATTGTCTTGAATAAACATCACATTCTTGATAAAACGTCACATACTTACAAAAGTGGCAATAACGATATATTGGGGGTGTAGCTCATCCTAATGACCATAGATTGGACTCTGGAGTGAAATGGAGACAGAATGAATTTTTCTTGTTTTTCTCCGTAACAGTCTCTTCTAGACTTTCTACTCCGTTCATTGTTTCATATTCTCACGGAATATAATCAACCGAATGCATGTACTTCATCGCACATAAGCACAGATAACAAGAACTAACTTCGCTGCTTAGTTCAATTTACATTTGTCACGTAGAGAACCGAGGATACGTTATTTGTTTGTAAAAAAAAAAAACAAACTTTCAACATGAAATTTATAAGTCTATAAACCATTAAATTATCTAGTGATGAACATACATATGTATATGTATGCATAGTAAAAAGTAATTCACATAGCAAACGCAACCGAGAAATATAAAAAAACTGAAACCTTATCAAACATTTTAAATGGCCGGAAGAAAAACATTTATCGGGATATAATGTTTGTCAATTCTGGTTTATTTAGGATAGAAATCGTAAGGATTGTTTTTCGTCGCCCAGACTTTGAACACGAATATAGTTCAACACGTTTTGTGAGTTTAACCGCCACATACCCTGAACCGGATTTTTATCCRGCCAAGGGCTTTGCCCCATTACATGATTCGGAGCCAGGAGAAGAATCAACGATGGAACTGACTGAGATTATCAACTAAACATAATCATGCTGTCAGCAGTTTACCATTGCTATTTTAAAATATTGCTAGGAACCATATATGTTAAAAGAGAGAAACTTAAAAGAAGAATCAAGAGATGTTTTTAGTCCCAAGTACGTGACAAAAAGTTTGATGAGTTATTTATAAATATATAAAATTAATAGCTGGCATTGACTTACCTTCAACTGCGATAAGTTGTTATCTCGAGCCGCATTATATACAACAAATTTACAATCCATAGCCAAGGCTGAATTCCGACATAAAATTCTTTTGTCTTGCAAGCCAATATCACTTTTTTTTAATATCTTTATGGTTTTTTTTTTTTTTGATGTTGATAGACTTTATGTTTGAAAGATATATTAAACTTTCAAAGCAATTTTAAAAATTAAGCTTGCTCTGCAATTACATTTATCTTTCTTGATTCTTCCAAAGCTKGCGAATATCTGCAGATTTTTCTGTCGTCGGATTTGCTGACACGCTGAAGTTTATATTTCGCTCACAGCCAAACAGAAAAACAACCCGTAAGTCACACAAACAGGAAGACAGTTCTTTCTTTAGCACTTTTTGTGTTTGGCTTATTCACCGATTTTTACTTCTTTCTTTCTTGTTATATTTTTTCTGCACTTTGCGTTAAAATTTGCTTCTTTGTTCTCGAAAGAAAAACTTAGCCAGAAATAGAATAAGTGACACTAAAAATTCGKTTGATACATTAGGTTGGTTCTCTTCAGCATGCTTTAACGAATGAATACCAAAGCGAAATTCGCAAAAAAAATTCCACGGGTGAACTAGGCACAACATCAACAACACACAACCTTACTGGATACCAAATTCATTGTAATAATTAATAAATAATGCGTGGCCAAGAAAACTCGATGAAATTGGGGACAACATACAATAAAATATTTAGTATTGTAGTTGTACTCGTTTACAAGCCAAAAAATAGTTCGAGATATATTTTTTCTGCTTTTTTTTAACTCAACATCAACAACACTAAAGAACACTTTCGAACTCGTCGTACAGCAAAACTCAACTATATTTTGCTTCCGGACTGGGCTGCCGTTTCAATAGTTTAGTATAATTCATATTTCATATAATATGGCATCATCAGGTATTATGATGACTTTTTCGAAGATTACGTTGCCTTGCCATATTTTAAGTTTAGGAATATTCAGAAGCATACTAAAACAGATCTGCTTATAGTACTATCACCTTTAGTCGAACATTTGGAACGATTACCTTTTTTCTTTTGAAAATTGCGTATGTATTTACCGAAAGAGAAAAATATTTCGTCATTTTTATTGGCCAATATACAATTAAAATATCTGTATAAATTAAAGGCAGATGGCACCTTCAGAAGACCTGATTTTAAATTAAATATGTGTGTTATTACACCATATATACCACCATAGATATATGGGTTTATGTATATACATTTATGATATCAGCATTGTTGAAGTTCTCTGGTATAACCTTACCTAGCTTTATACAATGATTCATATAAGTAAAAATGCTGACACAAGGATATTTCGCTAACACTAAAACCATGATTTTCTATTAATTCTGACATGATTATAATTCGTCAAGGAGTCGAATAAAAGTTGACGAATTTTTATTATAACTTATCAGATATCGTTTCTCATAACAATATTGGAAGTTATTATTATTATTCTGGATCTCGTTATTAAAAAATAGTTCTTCTTTTGGGCAACTGCTGACAAAAGTTAAATATGCACATATGTGTGTATATATTTATGTACATATTGACATACATTTTTGAATTTCTTTTTAATTGGTATTGCGTTGGTCCTCTTATTGCAACAATAATTGCTTGATGATGTCGACACATGCTTCAAACTAACACTTCAGCGTCTTTTTGGCGATATTCTCSCATTATAGCTTGATTAAGGGTCGCCATGGATGTTATATGGGCCTTGGATTTATATCCGGAGATGAGGAAGGCGTATTTAAATTCTTAGTATTGTATAAGAACCGCTTCATAACGATATATGAGATGTGCGTAGGATCATTGTTCTGTCGAAATAGAAAGTTTTTTCACTCTAATACTCTGCGCTCTCTACGAAGTTTTCTTTTAAAATTTTTAAATAAAGCTTTTGTCCACTGTAGGATAAAAAAAATTTAACTCATCAGTCTATAGCACGTTATCCCAAAACGAGTAAGGTTCAGTCACGTATTGTCTGGCAACCAGAGATATTAATTGTGGAGAACATTTCGAATCGTTGTAGATGCACGCTACGTTCTAAGGTACGTAATACTTCCTTTTTGTTGTTGTTGTAACAGCAGAATTGTGCCGAGATGACAGTCCTTGACCGGATAAAAATTCGGGTCCGTTCCGGTTTATTACACCCGACTGTCGTGGGAACGGCGTAATTCGTARTACTTCCTTCTGTATTTCTGATTACAATGAGTCTGCACACTTGATGGCGATTTGTGTTTGTATCACCAAACATTATGCGAGATAGATATAGAGTCACATATACAGGAGGATGGAGTCATGTGTAGAAGTTCACGCAAGTGGGGAAAGTTTTCTGATCGCCATTCACTTGGGAGTGGCCAGAAACGATTCTTTTACATATGACTCAAGCAGCTCACGACTTCCGGTCCTTGACCAAGTATCCTCTGGGTAGCCTAAGAACATCCGTTTGAAGGTGAGCTAAAGTGAGAAGGCGAAACATTCCCTGCATAGGGTTGTGCGCTGGGTTTGGGACCCGCCACGTAAAAAAAACACCCCAATGACAACGCAACAACTGCCTCGGATGAGAGACCCCACTTTTGATGATGTATGTATAGTAAGTATACTTAAATGATCATGATGCCGAGACGAGTTGAAATCTGTGAGACCACACAAGCGGCAACTTGAGAAAAAATTGAGATATCTCGATGAAGTTAGGTGCATATCTTCCTTGGCACTCTAGGAGGCACAGATGGGCGAAATCGGACCATGGTTACGTCCACAAAGCGCCATTAATGGAAAATCTATAAAGTACTATAACTAGGTTCTAAATTAAGATACGAAGTTATAAATTGGTGAAGAAGATGAGTGGCATATATGGTTTGAAAATATTTAAAAAGTAGACGGAGCCCCATATAAACCTATTTAATGCACATACATACATATGTATCTCCTAAACTACTTAAGCTACACCATGTCGAGTGACAACTTACATACAAACATACATATACACATGCACGTACATTTAATTAGATAAATTAGATTTAATAATTGTATAAAAAGACAAGCAAATTAATAATAATATCAGAACGAAAAATTGCCACTCAATGAAAGGTCTTTAACTTCCCTTACCAGTGGCAAGATTTTAAAGAAATCTTGAGTTATTAACAGCCCAGCTTTAGATAAAAACACCTATTATATCTTGAGACCTACACCACATATTTCAATCAAATTCTGCAGGTAACATTATTCTAAACTGTCCTAAGTTACAGTGTAGAAATGGGCAAAATCGGACTAAACCATGCCTACTTATTTTTGTATGACATATTTTAGGCCTATAAAATAATTTGGAAACAACAATTTCAAAAAGGTAATGGGTTATAAAATAAAATTATATACATACATATGTATATTTGAAAGAAATTTCACCATCACTTGCAAATTAATTTTTTTACTTACCCGTCAATATACATTTCTTAATTTCCGACACTTGTAACGTGTATAAATTTTTATTGTTTTTACAAGTCTTCTTACCACATGTGAATTGATGTACCTGCTTTATATCTGTACATCCATATGACAATAAATTTGTATGCATTTTAAATACAGTTGTTAAGTTTATTATTATATATAGTAAATACAACACCATATTATATGTTGGTGTGTAAAATTATTTAAGTGAATTGCGTTTAACGCCAACTCATTCCCACAATATCGTTAATAAGCTCGCACGAAATAGTTTAATCATAATAGGGAGTACAATAATAGTTTAATTAACAATCCATATGTATGTGTAATATTTTTAATAATTTAATTCTGCAGCTATAATTTCTCATTAAAAACTAATATTTTTAGGTATTATCTAAAACGAATCAACAAACTTATATCAAAAAAAAAACTATCTTATTTTATATGTTTTCGTTTACATATATAATATATTAGTATGTCACATACATATTCTTATATGTAAATACGTTTGTAGGTATGCATGTACATAAAATGGTCTTACTTAAGGATAAATCCAACGTACACCTAACCGTTTAAACTCTTAATTATTATGAATTTAGATCACAAATCCTAATAAATTCACAAAAATTAGATATCACAAGTTATTACTTTTTTTTTTATTATTGTTTGGTCATGAATATTTTAGCTAGAATCTTCTGTATTAAACCTTAATGCGATTGAAATATCCATATAATTGCTTATGGTATAATTTGTTTATACACATAAATGTAGAATTAAAGATAAAGCACATGGATGTAGATACGTATGTATATATTTACAATACAAACAAATACACCCACATATGAATTCTGAAGCATTTRCCTTTTAATTTTGTTGGAATGTGCGCTTATGTTATAAACCCATTAAAGTTTGTACTACTGATTGACCGAAGCATTAAAAATCTTTCATAAAATTCTTTGGTATAATAAGAATTGAGAAACCACATTTTTTAAGCTTTGGAGAATAAAAATGTATATTCGCAAAATTCAAAATGATATACAGTGAAATTCTTCTTTCATTAATATTTTCAAACAAAACCAATTCCTACAACCGGACATGAGAACTTTCCAATGATCGGACACGGTCACTATTTTGGTAGTATTTCGTTTAAAGAAAATTGTGTACGATTTGCCGCTCTTTTAAATTCTTATGAATGTTTAGTGTTTTGATAGTTTTTATGAACAATACGTAAAACGATCACAGTGAACAAATTATCTTATTCTGGTGCCGTCTAATAGGGTAACTGTCATTCATTGACTCCTGGCTGACATTGTCTCTCATTTATTAGTTCAATAGAAATATGTAGCTCCCTTAGCCGGACAAAATCAGTGCGACGGTGGGTGAACGGTTATGCGGTATTTCACTGTATTGATATGTAATAGTACATACATACATATGTACCATAGATCTAGAAGTATGCTGATGCCGATATTAGTTCATATTAAGTTTGTGGAAGACATCTCTAAAATTCAAAGATTCTCGCAAATATTTTATTTAAATCAATTTAAAACAATTTAGTACCCGAAAAAGTTGGAACTGCATATAAAAATATCTCAAAAGCCTAAGCCAGTATTCATTTTCCGTTAATAAAGGGTTTTAACGGTATTAATATGTAAAGTTATTATTTAAAATAACATGCATTTATCGGGAAACGTTGGTAGAGAGTGCGTACGTATTCCTTAATAGAAGTCGTTTGTTTAAAATTTTGAACGTAACTGCTTTAATGCTTATGAGACGATACGCGAATATCATTTATGTCATTCCAAAAATTATGACGTACTGTAGACGCATAATGTAATTTAAAATCATGAATATTTTGAAAAAAAAAGTGAAATTAGAATATAATGGTATATGCATATGTTTTACATACATAATTTAATAAATTTAAATATAGTTGACATGTATGCAGATATCGTTTGAGTTTAGTAAGTCCGGTAATATAAATATTATAGATATGTATAAGTTATATGAATTTTTTAATACTTGCAACTTTTGTAAATTGATACATGCATATACCGTATATATTATTATGTATGTATGTGTATGAAAATTATTTCATTAGATCACAATGTATTACTTATTTCTGAAAGACATTGCTTGTGAAAAGGAATTTGACTCCCTTAGTAAATTAATTGTATTTACTAATATGTATATTATCATGAACTGCGATTAAGTTTATATCTTTGACATGCATAATATTATATATTATAATATTTGGATACATTGAATATAAATATTTCATATATGCATAAATAATTTCACAAAAAAGTTGCACAACAAACACATTCTCGAGAATTCTGTTCATGGCGAGAATACCCGTAAACTTCGAAGTAAAGTTGCTAACACATTGGCTAAACATTCAGCTTGTAGCGCAAGTTGTCCAGCACCCAATGGACCAATTTGCACCCCTACTAATTCCCTGAAACTGGATCCCACATCATGAACTTTAAGCACAATGTTTCGAGTTTGTAATGGTGACGATGTATGGAGAGTCATATCTTGTGTGAGTTCAGTAATACGYCGAATCGCTGTGAGACAAGAAGTGAGATGCTCTGGCAGAGTCGATAAAGTCATATCCGACATTGCTACTACTAAAAATTTAGACGCAGTCACTAGCATCAATGTTTGTTCAGTCAGTTCATTCCGAGCACGCTGAAATTTATCCTCGTCAATGTTAGAACCCCCGCCTGCGAGTTGCGCTGCTGAACACTTGGCGGCTACCTGATCAAGTTTCACCAAAAGTCCTGCCATTGCTATGTCCGTTTTGGTCAACAGTGCTTCGCTGTCAATAACATGCCCATTCTTTATAATATACTTTTCCCCAAATTTTTGTGATATAACAGATTTTAGAGGTATGGACACTGAACCAGGACTTTCAATTTTTTGTGACATTTGGGGAGAACTGAATGAAGAAATAGGAAGAAATTTATCGATTGTTGAGTTCTTAATATAAGTCTGGGGGTAATAATTTTTCAATAGATGATTCTCATTTGATGTAGCTGTAATAGGGTGTTTTTCATCTTGTTTGTTGCAAGAGTAATTAGAGATGGGGTTAGAATGAGATACCGGGAAAACGCATGAAGGCACCAATGGTGGAACATGTGAAAAATTTTCACTGCTTAAATTGTTCACATTTACTGATATTTTTCGTTGAGTGGAACGGTTGGTTATTGGCGGCAAAGGTGGTTTTTGTGGGGCTTCACTCACCGAAGGAGCGGAAGAATTTTCCTCACAACGGTTGAAATTTTTAATTCTTGGTGGTAATAATGGTGGTCGCTCTTCGTGGACTTTTTGTTCTTGTTTTTTAGCTTTTTCATTGTAGTTTTGAAAGTCAWCAGCTGTGCCAGCTAGTCTCTTTGGAGAATAACGTTGAATCAACTCTAGACTTTTAGGCGGTCGCTCTGGAGGTGTTGGTTTGTCTATGGATTGTGAACGTGGTGGCACCTTAAGACCGATTTTATTTGATTCCGAAATATTTTCAGCATTACCTTTTAAAGATTTTGGACAGCAAGAGAACTTTCCCTTGCGTTCGACTGTGGAGTACTCGATCACATGCTCCCCTTCACATCTACTTAACTTGTTTAATTGATTTCGGTTTGGAAGCAAATTTTCAGAAATCGAATTGCTGTATAGGTTTTCTGTTTTTTCCTTCGAATTATTTTTATTATCTTCTGGATCAGGTGGTGGAGGAATTATAAATGACATTATTTCCTCTGGCGTTAGTTCTTTTGCTGGAGTTGTTCTTTGTGTTGGCGGTGCCACAATTATGTTTGCTAGGAATGTGTCCAGATCACTTTCAGAGTTAGTATTTAAAATATTCTTCGACCCATCACCGAAACCTTGTGGAGCAGCATTCAGTAAAGATATTGCATCTAATTCGTCAGGAGTGCGTGGAGGTGGTATAGAGCGCAAATCAATTAAATCAGTATCTGTTGCAATAAATGTGTCACCATGAATTTCAAAACCATAAATTTCAGAAAGTTTTTTTGCAGCTACATCGGTATCCTGACTTCCATCATGAACATTGCTTATTTCTTTAAGTTGTTTCAAGTATTCTTTTAAATTATAGTCCTTATTATCTGAAGCAAAACTATTGCCATCGGGACTATGCAGACCAAAGCTGCTTCGATAAGCCAAATTCTGTTTATGGCAATTTCTTCTGTCATTAGAACATAGAATTAGTGGTCGGCGAGCTACAGGGGAGCTCGTTGGAGAATTAACTGATTCAGAATCGCTTTCACTTTGAGAAAAATCTGCGCTCGTTTGAAGATTGGTCAGTATTTGTCCGATGTTGTTAAATTTCCTATCTGGCCGCGGACTACACGTCGTACTAATATTTGAAATGTCAATCGACAGTTCTGACGGTTTCCTTACGATTGAATTCAAACTCTGTGTTATACCATTTAAATCTTGATTTATAGATTCTGCCAAAAGAASTAAGGAATCACTATGCTTAAGAGCTGCTAGTTGAGGTGTATCCTCCGTTGAGGATATTTTACTGCTATTCATACTATCGCAGTCACTATCGAACTCCTGCGAATTGCCTGTTTTATTCAGATTTTGTTCCTTGTTTATAGATTCAATCGCCCATATATTTAAAGTACTATTAAATTGGATATTAGTATCATACGAGAGCTCATCAGACTCAGGAACCATCTCACCCTGCTCATTTAAATATTGTTCGGAGTTTTCTACCATTTTTTGCATTTCGTGAACACGTCGTAGTACTTCAACATTTTTAGCCTCTATAAAAGCATTTGTTTCCATAGTGATTGATCGATCACCACCGCTACTGTCGCTTATACCGGAGTCTTTTGCTTCCTCTAATAACTCCGTGGCCATAACACTGTGAATATCTAGACCTGTAGAACCATTGTTAACAAGAGGTATAATCTTAGGGTTGTGGTTACTATCTGCCTTATTTGAAGAATTCAAATCCATACACCTCTTTTCGGATCCGCTTAAAATATAATTTTTTTCATTTTTGCTTTCAATTGATATAGTTTTGTCTTTCTGTGGATGATAGGGGGGCAGTAATAGGAATGTTATGCCGTGAGTTCGATCGTGAAAAGGCAATAAATAACTCCAAGCAGCTGGTATGACGGTGTGTTGGGTTAAATAAGATGGTGCATTGTCATCATGGTGTTGATCTCGTTCTCGTTCCACAGCAAGTATTTTTCCTAATAAATAAATATATTTTATAAAATAAATTGGTGTTTAAGAAAATCATACCTGTTAATAAGCAATGATAACCGGATAAAACTAGTGAGAATTCACATGCATCACGATCCTCCATTGAAAATTTTACTGATTTGCCTCCTTGCATATAAATGGTTACACTGCAAGATACGTCATCTTCCCGTTTGACGGCGACATGACTAAAGTCTTCAATAGCTGATATAGGTTGAGGCTGTGTAAAATACAATATTAATCTCACCATTGCTAAAGTTCGTTTTATAATATATGTATGTACTAAATACAAAAATTCATCCCATATGTATTTAGAAAATGTGATATTCTGGCCCATGAAGAATTAAAAAGTAAAATAGGAATTGTTAAATCATGTTTATTACCTATTATTAGCTAYTGCTAGCAATAAATTAATTTTGTTGGTTTGACAAGTCCATTTTCAATTATACAAGAAGAAATTATCCTCAAATACCTACCACCGAATTTCTTACACTTGGTATCTGACTCAAGCCATAGCGTGGGCTAATAAGTAAAACGCGTTCAACACCTTCCCTTTGGTTTGTACTGAAACATTTAGCGCCATAACTGGGTAAAGTTGAGATAATATCCAAATAGTGTAATTTTGCCTAAAAATGTATATTTTATAAATGTATATTAATATAAATGTTACGCAGTATATAGATAATTTATTTGATGTACTTTTAAATTTAGTATATGTATGTATATTAAAAATTGATGGAAGGATGGTTGTAAAATTATTTTTCACCTGTAACTGTGTCAAAACTTTAGCGGATGAACCAGTCATTTCTGCATTTTGTTTTAGAAAGTGTGATATCAATCGTCTAAGTTCCTTTCGTTTCATTCCCTCAAATAAAGATATCGGTACAAATCTTTCTAAACCGAATTCTCGCCTATAATTAAATACAATATTTAAATTCGTTCGTATTTTAAAAACAAATATTCCTATTTGTAACTTACTCAACAGCTTTAACTGTTAATTTTGTTGGTGAAATGTTATTGGCCAATGCATGTTGATGCATATGTAATGCTGCTAGTCTTAACGCTACCTCTGGCTGGAGTTCGGGTGCAAAACGTTCTTGTGTCACATCGTTACAGCATTGCATATATAAATAATCTAAAGCATTCAAATCTTTCTGAGCCAAATCGCCAGCGGATTTCGGTACGAAAGTCACWCGAAATAAACAACGCAGTTTATGAGCACCAGGACGCGCAGCGATCTGCAATGTTGTATAAGATAATTAATTTACTTTACAAGGGAATTAACGAGAAAGAAAAAAAATTACTCTCGCCAAAGATTCCTCAGGATCTAGTAATGTGAGCTTATTCCGTTTTAAACTTTTCACATGCTCCAATACGAGGCTAAAAATTTCCCCTGTAGAAAGACACAACTTGTCTAGAAGTGAACGGACCACATCCTTTCAATAAACGATTTCGATTAATTTTATCACAAATGCTATCATTATTCTGTATAACATTACCTGCACACTGGTGGAGGAATCGTATTTGAATGACTTTGTTTGCCCATTTTCAAGGAATACTTTGAGCACATTTGCCATCGGCGGCACACAAATGTCTCCCAATGAAAATGCCGATGCCTGTTAAATAATCCAAATGAAACGTTTTATAAATTTCTAAAAAAAAAAAATTATAATCTGATTGTAAATAATAAAAAAATGGGAACAAAATTTGGAAAAGTTTCAGGAAAATCGTATCTATACATCATTACACATTAGTGTTATTGCTATCTTACCGGAAATAATGGTGATCCATTTACGCAAACACTTTCAGCAAAGCGAACCCGACTAGGTCGCGTCCGTAATTTCGCTCGTTTACCCGCTGAGAGGAGTGTAGATTTACGACCGGGTGCAAAGATATGCTTTGGTTGACACACCATTATTGTTACTTCGTTTTCACAAGCTCGTACCAATTGAATAACATGATCACGAGGAGCCTCTTTTACATCTTCTCCGTTTACTGCGAGAATCTGGTCACCAGGTTGAAGCTTAATTAAATTCATATAGTTTAATTATTTACTCTTAAAAATAACATAAAATGCGTTACTTTATTCATACTGGGTCCACCATCTGTAACGAAACGTACTATAACTGGTCTTTCACTGCCAGCAACGAAACCGAAGCCTAGGGTAGGGCTGCGCTGAAGAGTTACCATTCTTGGTTCGGGTGAATTGCCATCACATTGTATATTTTCAGGTGCCTCATATGTTGTTGTTTTATTTATGTGACTGCATAAAATAGGAAAAAATTTATATGTATATTGACAATAATAATATGTAATTTATATATCGACTCTTACTTTATGTAATATGATCTTGCTTTTGAATCTATTGCTCTTTCCCAACCGTAAGGCAATTCTTCATATTTACACCAGTCTTCGCTAGATGGCAACCAACTGGATATTTTAGCAACATGGCTGACAAGAAAAAGGTTATAGTTTATTTAATTATTTCCTACAATGTGAACAATTGTAAATGGTTTGTTAAAGAAATTCGAGGCTAATGAAGTGAACAACTGGATATCATGATCATATCTGCAGCAATCCATTTTGCTTCAAATGAGTTCATCCGTGTGCACCCATTCATAAAATTAGTTAGTGCATATTAGCATAACTAATAATAATTTGCATATACTATTAATGGCTGTGATACAACCTCTATGATTAATTGCAAATTAATGAACAAGTTTAGGATAACTTCCCTTTTAACCTCCTACAACAAGATATTGTTACTTAGTTATATTTATGAAAAATATGTGTCTGTTGATGAAATGAATGCAGTCGTCTATTTAAAAACTATCACCCCTAAAACTGGTAACTTGCATCTGATATGTTCTCGTGAATTGCTTTTAATAATGTGTGCACTATCATTTWATGCATTACTTCTAAAAACGAGTGCATACATATGTATGTATATTTAATACTATGCTAACTATGATAATTCGTTTATATATAATATTATTAAGGTGCACACCACACCTCCTTACTTACTTGCAATAATATAGCCGGCCCTCTTTACTCATATGAACAGTCCACTCATCCTTCAGACTTTCTTGTAGTGCTTGTAATTGTTGCCCAATTTCTTTCCAACTTTCTGTATTACTCAATATAGCATAGTCTTCTGTCGTAGTACCAATCAAAGCTGGAAATTTTGAGGTAAGTATGGAATGAGCGCTACAACAAATTCCGTTTTCACTCTGATTACCAGGTGATAGAGAATTAGTGCCCACTGTGGACACAGATCCATTATTTTTTGATATTATTGAAGCCGTTGTTTGTACATTTTCCAATTTATTTGTGCTTTTCACTACCAATTTAGGAGATGTTGTTCTATCACTGTTTGATCGCCCCGAAGGCAGTAACATCATCGAAGAGCATTCGTAGCTTTTGGGAAGTAATAATTTAACATGTAAAATACATGCGCATGTATTCTAAAGATACTTRATTCCAATAATTGCCAAAGATATTCCGAGTTCTTCTTTATTTGCAATATAACGGGTTGAGATTCTAAAAAACGTAAATACCTTACAGATAATTAAGTATAATTCTTATTTTTGGTTTATAAAATAGTTAATAAGCATAATTTTTAAGAAGCAGAATAATGTAGACTCAGTTCGTTGGTTCACATATACTCTTCATTTGACGATTGTTGCTACAGAATATAATAGTTCAATTCCAAGTAACGGTCTGTTCGCAAACAGTAACTTGAGCGAAAATCTAGATATCATCATGCCCACACCCCCGTGATGGTATGAGAGGGCTTTATAGGAGCAGGTGTCGAAGGAGGAAGATGGGCGTAACGCCGCCCACATAGCTCGGGACCCACACGACTGATTTTAACCAAGTTCTTATCTTACAGTGCGAAAATGGGTGAAATCGGACTATAATAACACAATTTGTCAAAATCGACAAAACAATTCCAGCCCATACCGAATATGTGAACCCCAGAAGTATAGTTCACTTTTGACCGAATGTATAATTGAAATTTAGAAAAAATCCTTTCCTGTGTTCCAAAAGTGGGTTGAATCGGATAAATTTTTCTTCCCTTCCTTTATCCCCATATACCTAATGTAGGGAAATTCGAAAATCTTGTTAACTTTAAACCACATACTTACATACATATGTATACCGACTAGTTTACCAGTTAATATAATGAAATTGTGTTTATTTTCCTCATAACAGTAAAGAGTATAAAATCGRGCAAAAATAACTTGCCTTAGCCCCCATATAACTGATACTCTGCATTTTCAAACAACCGGCTGACTTTACTCCACCTTATATCTTTATATATACATAATCATGGAATTGCTTGAAAATAAGGTAAGTATATTTAGGCAATGTCAAAAATTTATGTAATCAACTCTTTTTCTGTTCTCAATGATTTTCGCATAATATAGAACRGAAAATAAAATAACGGAGTCTATGACCTTCAAAATACGTTGATATGATACTGATTTCGTAGAACAAGTTGWAAACTTTCGCTAAATTTTTTAATTTTTCCAACACCTCAAAGTATTTAGCYGGCTTTGATCCCTGTAAGTTGGAAGATTATAAAATGTTCRGTTACACCCGAACTAAGTCCATCCTTACTTGTTACAGTTCTAATTTGTAACCTTTTATTAATTGAAAATGGGAAAATGGAAAAACGAAGATGGAATAATAAATACTAATAATCTACTATTTATATTAGGTTTGAAAAGTAACTATTTTAGAGAAAAATTATACAACATTTATGAATATGCTGAATGTCCAACTTAAATTAATGCTGTTGGGGCACTTCAATGTAAATATAGCTCAGCTAAATATTTATTGGGTAAGTACTTTAGTTAATAATATACTTACTGTATACATAGCTTGAAGTTTTCAAGAAACTACCAATAAAGTCAATAAACTTAAATATTAAGGTGATTTTTGGCATGGAACAAAACGCTTGAACAACTCGAATTGACGGCATTAAGTGTTAACGATTAACATTTTGCTAAATATATTATACATATAATGTATAAATATATGTATAAATATGTTCGCTGCTTTTTTAATGTAGTTTGATTGCTTGCATGCATACACACCAAGTGAGTAAATTTGTAAATGTAAACTGAAAGTATAATGGAATGAAAACTTCAATTTACTAGCAAAATAAGCATTTACAAATATACTTTAACAGTTGGCCTTAATTCTCGAAAAGAAATTGTATACACTGAATACAACTTACAATACAGTGGTAATAAGAATTAATAACAAAACATTATAAACGGTTTAAYGTCAATTTATTGACTATTTTCGAATAAACAATTACAGAAGCGATTCACACCATATGTATTATTAGGGGCTGGCAAATTCTTGGAGCCAGATATTCGTATTTTATTGTCACAAGATTGTTAGTTTATTTGGGAAACAAAATCAGAAAATTTTATAACATATTTTTATATTCTCRCATCATGTTGATACCTAAAGAAATACAGGACAAACTTCAGAGATCTGGCATCAAATGCAACAAATACTATAATCAAACCCCTACTTTCAAAAAGAAAAAAGCTTGCATTGGGTGCGCAAAAATATCAACCGTGACTGGAGGAATATAATATTTAGAGCTGATGTATTCCTTAACCCATTGGGGCGTGTTAGACTAAGAAAGAGACAAACATTAATCAAACGAGTCACCCCTTAAAAGGTTCATGTTTATGGATGCTTCTGTGCTCATTAATTTAGGGTTTTAAGGTGATTTATAGAGAACCTCATCTTCATTAAAATGATAAAATTTTATAAAAAGAGTTTACTGATATGAACTCAAATTCCTTACCGCAAAAATAACTATGATTGGATACTGCAAAAAGACAATGAACCGAAACTTAAAAGCAGATTGCATAATGAAAACCAAAATATCAAGAAAGCACTTAACGTCAACAAAAGAAAATTTATTTCCAAGTTGGCATATACAATATTAGTCAATTGAAATGCAAAATAACGTATCATCAAAAAATTCGGAATTGAGTGTCTTATTGATTACGCTTCAGTACTTCAAATTTCATACATACATCATACTAATATTATAAATGCGAATGTAAGTTTGTTTGTTACGCTTTCACGCAAAAACTACTTAACCGTTCATCATGAAACTTTGTACATATACTCCTCAATATATTAGAAGTAAAATAGGGAACTTTATATTAAAAAAAAAATTTTTTAAGAAAGATAAAAAAATTGTGTGTCAAAAAATCCTCAAATTTACCTGCTTCAACTCCATCTAGCATTACAGTAATGAAGTTTCAACCATGAATTCTATAATACCGTCCCACTGTATTACCGGCGGTGACGACAATATCTAATTCAATTGAATATATGTACATAGTTTCAACTGTTTCTAATTTTTATACTCTCGCAACAAAGTTGCTAAAGAGAGTATTATAGTTTTGTTCACACAACTGTTGTTTGTAAGACCTAAAACTAAAAGAGTCAGATATAGGGTTATATATACCAAAGTGATCAGGGTGATGAGTAGAGTTGAAATCCGGATGTCTATCCGTCTGTGCGTCCGCCCGTGCAAGCTGTAACTTGAGTAAAAATTGAGATATCATGATGAATCTTGGTACACGTATTTCTTGGCTCCATAA